ACCTGAGCCGAAGGCAGTCGCTTAACCAACTGAGTCACCCAGGCGCCCGATTTTTATGTTATTCTTACAAATAGATAGATGGGTAGATGATTGGATGGATGGATGGATGGATGGATGGATGGATGGATGGATGGATGGATAGATGGATGGATGGAGAGACAGATAATGTTTTAAAATCTATTTTTTCTTTTTTAAAACAGAAACTGTTGCTTAATTTTGTGCTGCAAGGCCTGCTTCCTAGAGGCATATGGTTTGGGGGCGGCCATAAAAAGCTGGATCTGGAGCCTTCCCTTAGAACAGAGCACTGTGTTTATGATTTAACCATTTCTTGTTAGCAGCAGACAGCATATCATCGACTCTGGAACTCAGAGATGTAATTCTGGTCTTTGACATTAGAAAACAATACCTAATTAAACTGAGCTTGATGTTGTGCACACTCTACCAAACATCCCATCCTCTGGGGTTTCCTTAAAACTTCAGGACCTCAGTGTCTCATGTCATCAGGGCCACCACAATGTACAAGTCCAGGGGTGCCACCCCATTGAGGTCTAATGCCGCACTGTCCCCTGCCCCGTGCTTCTGTTTCCAAGCTCCCCTGGTCTGGGGAAACTCCCCCACCCATCCGTTCCCCCCGCCCCTGTTAGGGAGCGCACAACTTTTGCATCCCAGCTGTCTGCCAGTATGTGTTGGTATTGGATTCAGCTTGTCCGCCCTAGTCAGTGCCGGCCACCGAACAGGTGTTTAACAAATGCCTGCTGACTTGAGGAATGAATACATCGGTGATGCACACATCAAATGCTGGGCCTTACTGTGCAAGCTTGAACGCAGATTTGAGGGAGATCTTTTTTTTTTTTTTTTAATTTTAAATAGCAGCATAAGAGGATGGGGGTGGAATTTGCTTTAGTACCTTCAGAGGGTTTTTTCCTCCCTGGCCCATTATGACTCACTACTGCTAACTGTGGAAATTTTAGGGAATAGTGACTCTAATATACTTCCAATTTTGTAGGCTTTCATTGTCAAGATGAGTTCTAAATGAAGGCTAAGCCCCCAAAACAGCCAAAAAAACAAAACAACAACAAAAAAAAACCCAAAAACCTCTGCATTGCATAGAGAGGGGGAGGGAACACTGTTTAGCAAAAGATTCTGATTAAGAATCAGTTAGTGTCATCTCTGATGAGCTCCCACCCGCTGGCTTCCCAGTGACTTAGAAGTACAGAAAACATAGGACCTCATCTGGGCAAAACGACCCCTGATTACAAAACCACCGTGAGATCTAGAACTTTATCTCAGTTTTTCTGGAGGATGAAAATCCTTCTAGTGAGCTTCAACAACCAGATCTTTATTGTCACACTCATCCAGCTGAATAATATGTCCATTTATCTACCTTCCCAACTAGTTTCTTAGCTGCTTGAAGGCAGAGACTGTATTCCCAGGGCCTGGCACAGCTCCTGGCACGAAGTAGGTGCTCAAAAATACTTAGTCAGTAACGATCCTATACTACTCTCGGCAAAGTATAAGCTCACAGAACTGGGAGAAACCTAAGAAATAATTTAATAACTCTCTTCCTTTTCAAGATCAGAGCAGTAAGAGCTAGAGAAGCAAAATAAATTGCCCAGGGTCATATCAGGCTACATTGTAGGATGCTTTTCTTTTCTCCTCAAAATTTTTCTCCTCTCAACGTATAACTCATGGGAAAAATCCAAGAGGGGCTTGAAATATCCCTTTCATGCCTCATGAGCTTCTTCTAAGTAAATATGCCTTTTATAAGTTACAGAACATTAACCTGAAATACATATAAAATGGAATTTGGAGACTTTTACTTGGTCAATTTATTTTGGGGGGTGGAGCCCACAGTTCTCAAATTCATAAAGCTAACACCTTGCATTTTTCTCTGGTGTCTTAAGGGCTTCTTAAAGTCGCAGTCAAGAGGTCCTTCATGTAAAAACCAAACCATAAAATTAAAATTTCAGCATTTTAATTAAGTCTATCAAAGTCCACCAAATTAATTTGCAGCAGCAAAATAAGATGCAATTATGTAAAGCACAGGGATCAATTTATCATCCTACATAACTCATGATTAACTCAACAAGCTTTTATTTCCATGTCTAGGTGACAGATATTAAGATCCAATTGTCTGACTGCATCATATGAAAAATGGGACTTTCTTTTACCCCTAAACTAGCCTTCCAAAGATCTAGAAACATATTCTCTCCACAGATGAAAAATGGGCTCTGCTGCCAGGAAGGTGTTGGAGGAGAAGTGGGATGCCCAGAACCAGTGGGCTGAAGGGACATCAAAAGAGCCTGGGACCTCCAGTGCCACACCAGCCCCCCAGGGCACCTTCCCAGTGGGCCTACGTACCTTCTAGGCAGTGTGAGTTCCTAATTTCCTAACACCTCTCAGTTCAGGGCAAAGTTTCCCTTGGGCTTTGATCTTCTCTAATGTCTCTCTGTCCCCAGGATCAGGCTACTTGAGGATGGAATCTCCTGATTGGCATGTCAAGAGCCATAGATTCTGCTTAGTGGACAGTCCCTTTCCTTGCTGGGGGCACAGACTCAGCCTAGGCGGGAGCTGTCACAGTGTGTTAAGTGACTAATAAACGCCGATGCTCCATCATGATTTTCAGTGCAATAAGAACTGAGTGCCTTTGGATTCGGTAGCTTCTCAGACTGCCTGCAACATCTCCTCGGCTCTCTGGCCTAGCGGGTCTCGGTCTGCCAAGCATCTGTGGGGGAAGAGTGAAAAGGCAGATTCCTCCAAATACAAAATGGAACTTGAACCTCCAGATGATGGTTTTGTTTTGTGACACACTTGACTGCCTACTCACGGGCATGAATCTGTAGCTTCAAATGGCTTTCCAAAGCAATTTGCTAAAGTGGGTCTTTAAAACACGTCGGGATGAATCATTAAAACATTTCAAGATGACAATACCCCTGGAAGGCAGAAGATACTGAAGCAAATGGGAGGCACCTTATCTGCCTCTAAGTAAGTGGATAAATTTAAGCAGCAAGGCCTCAGGAACTCTGTCCTTACCAAGTCCCTACCAGGAGTCCCTGAGAACCTCCCCACCCCCTCACTGACCAAACCCTTTTTTAAAGGGGGCTGCTCAGCATCTTTCGCAGGGTTTCCAAACCCACTTGCGCCTGGAATACAACCTGGGGGGTGCTGATGTATCTCAGGAACCTCAAGACTTCTTCATCCAGGGACTGAGCAGGACCTGCCCATGGCTGGAGATCTATATGCCACCGGGGACCCTGCAAAAGACAGAAAACAGGTCCATGCGTAAAGGGTGGAGGTGCTCGCGGTGGGGGTGACAGGGACACAGACTATCAGTGGGGCTGCACCTCTGCTTTAGCTGCTTGCAGAACGAACATGTCTGAGCACAGCAGTGGGGGGCCTGTCTGGGGCTGCTGTCATTAAGGTCACCACAGCGACAAGGAAGCAAACAGGGCCTGAGAAATTCCAGCTACTGGCTTAATAAGCAAAAGACTGCAAAGGCCTGCAGACATCTGACTTCTGATCCAGAGCAAACTCCACTTGACCCCATCAGGCTCTCCCGACTGTGGCTTTGTATGACACAGCGCCACTCCCCATTCGAAGGAAAACTCCCCTATCTACTACGGTTTCCAAAGCTTCTAGAGCTTCAGAACTCTGCCCCTCCCTAAGGGCCAGTTTTGTTGTTGAGGCATCATAATGCCTGAAATCCTGGGGCCTTCCCCAGCACAGGGAGACGGGGCGGCCCCCCTTGGTGTTCCAGATCTCAGCGTGCCCGGCATCTGGATCTGTGCACCTGCAGGAGAGGACCCCGAAGCTGTCCCCACCAGTGCTGACAAGGGTGGCCTTCTAGCAAGGGGCTGCCACCTTTTTTTTTTTTTTTAAGTAGGCTCCACACCCAATGTGGAGCTGAATGCGGGGCTGAAACCCACGACATGGAGATCACAACCTGAGCTGAAATCAAGAGTCAGATGCTTAACCGGATGAGCCGCCCAGATGCCCCAAGGGGCTGCCACCTTTCAGCAGAGGACGTGAGGAGCTCCCACAAGCAGAGCAGTTAGAGATGAACGCTAGGCCCCCTTTTGTAGCAAGGGTGATGGGATGGATGAAGGGTTAGGGGATCGCAGTGGTCTGGAAGAAACAAAAGTGGAATCCCTCCAGTTGAAGGGAAGCACTAGTCATGAAGTTCTTCCTCGACTTCCAAGTCCCCCACCCATAGTTATCACCGCTTAGAAACCTCCCAGAGGCTCGCTGTGATTCTAACTGGGAGAGTAGGGCTCAGGGTGTGGGGGTGGGGAAGCGGGTGGGTGGAGAGAAGCCCCAGCAGCTGGCAGGGTGAATGTCTGACATAGGGAAAGACTCTGGGTGTCTTGGCATAGGGGTTCCGGCACAGTGCTTAGACTGGGCCCTTAAACCGCTTCTGTGTTGAGGAAGAAGGCAAGGGAAGTTTCTGGGGACAGATGAATGGGCCATTCATGTAAACACATTGTCCTTCACTCAGGTATTACCATGGTCTGAATGTGTGTGTGTGTGTCCCCCTCCCCCATATTCAAAGGTTGAAATCCTAATGACCAATGTGATGGTATTAGGCAGGGGGGCCTCCGGGAGGTGCTCAGGTTATGAGGGTAGAGCCCTCCTGAATGCTATTAGTGCTGTTACATAAAAGATCCCACAGAGCTCTCTAGCCCCTTCCCCCATGGAAGGACATGGCGAGAAGGCAGCAACCCGGAAGAGGGCCTTTCCTGGAAACCAATTCTGCTGGCACCCTGACCCTGGCCTTCCAGCCTCCAGAACTCCGAGCAATACAGGTCTGCCCCTCCTTGTAGTAGCTGAGCGCCCTGCAGTTCTCGAGACTTAACGAATCCTCGCTGATCTCCCACGGGCTGCCTTCTTCTCAGCTGTCAGTCTCCTGGGCGTGTGACCTGGGTCGTCTTAGAGGGGCCTGTGCTGGGCTCAATGCTCTACTGATACGCTGACACTATCTGGAAATTCTTTAATAATTTTGGAACAAGGGGCCTCACGTTTTCATTTTGCACCAAACCCTACAAGTGGAGCAGTCAGTCTGCCCTGAGGGGCACCTTTTCTGGGTACACAGGCTTTTCTTATAGCTGTTCTTGTTCTGTGAAGGCTGAGCAGAGACTCTAATCAGAGAAAGCCTGAGAACATTAATATATCTTCCCAGTAATACCGTCCACCACCACCCCCCTACTTCTTTTCCCTTCTCTGAAGTAGATGCTGATTACCATTTGGTCAAACAATACTGAGGATCAGTCACTCTGTGCCAGACAGAGGTCTACACAGATATGAACAAAACCTGGACTCTCCCACAAAGGGCAGTCTGGTAACTTTGACAGGGAGATGCTGAAACATTAGGGAGAGCAATTCTTTTCAGGAAATTATTTAATTATGAAATCATACATTATAAGCACATTTAAATACAAATACCTCCCAGTTTTGTTTGGTCACGTTCTTCTCATATCACATGAGAGAGTGCCTTGCCACAACACAGTGCTCTTTGGCCAAACCTGTCTAGGCCTGGGGTTTAAAACTCCCCATGTCCTCATCCTATGGCCACTCACAAGTGCCCCCCAGCATCTGGCCCAGGAGCCTCTCGATAAAAATGATAAAGTTCACACATGACGGTCTTCCTTGAAATCAGGGATCAGTAAACTCTTTCTATAAGGGGTGAAACAGCAAATAGTTTAGGCTTTGCAGGCCATACAGTTTCTGTTGCAATTCCTCACCTCCTGCTATCACTCATAGCAGCCACAGACAGTGAGTAAACCAATGGTCATGGCTGTGTTCCAATAAAATTCCATTTACAAAAATAGGTTGCAGGCTGGATTTGGCCCACACGGCTGTAGTTTGCTGACCCCTGATCTATTTGATTCTAATTTGGAGACAGACTGGCCTAGAAGAGAGTGTTTACTTGAAATAATGCAAGAGAGACAGATTAGGGTATCTAGATTATAACTAACTTTGTCATCTGGGTGGCCTGGGCAAGTATCAGTCAGAGTTCTAGCAGGATACAGTGGGCTCCTTCCCACGGGCTAATTTGAGAAGAATTTAATAGAAAGACTATTTATAAACGTGTGTGCAGGATTTAAGGAAATCCTTAAGGAATAATGCAATACCCATGGCTGGTAGCACCAGAGAGCCCTCACAAAACTTCAGCCTGAAGGAACGAGGAGGAAGAGGAATTTGTGGAACCCAGAGTGGGACACTGTATGGAGAAGGCATTCAATAAAGGAACAAAGCAATCCTAGCACATCCAGTCCTATTATATACCCACACTAACTGTCAAAGGCAAAAGAAGGCAGAGAAGAGGGAGGCTATGGTTAGTCAGCCTCTGGGGGTGCAGAACAGGAAGAGAAGGGTGGAAAGTGGATCTGGAGAGGCAAATGGAAGGTCTCCTGCATCGCTTCCTTTGGAAAGAGGCAAGGAGACTTGACTAGGGCGTCATTCATTCATTCAGTGGACACTCATGCCTCGTGCCAGGCTCTGGGTTACAATTTAACACAGGATAATTTAATACAGTTTTAACCCAATAAATGCAATGCAGTTAGGTAGGGGCTCTGACAGATACCTCTAGAGGGTAAATGGGGTCAAAAAGAGATGGAGGACCCAAGTATAACCCCAACATAAATGCCAAAACATACAAATGCAAATTGTGGCAAGCAGTCTCCACCGCAAGAAGCCCTAAAGTTTCCTTAAAGAGATACCCTAAACCCAGCAGGAGCCGCTTAACCTGAGCAAACACACATAAATAACTTCACAGATCAGTAACAGTGAATCTGCATGGTCAATCAGTATGGTAAAACTATAGAATTATCTTCAGGATCCGCAAACAGGATCCTATTGCAATCTGATATTGCTCATTTCCAACCGAGTGTTGACCATGATGCAGCTCAACATGGCAGCCGGAACAGTGACGAGCAGCTGAGGATCTCAGGTGGAGGTATAATACAGCGAAGAGATGCCCTAGCAGCAATCCAGCTTAATGCTTTGGTTGAGCTGTTTAAAAAACATTTCACATAAAGTAATGTTCTTATTGGAATCAGTCTGACAGCAGTTCGTGATTATTTCCCCAAGGAAACCACTAGCTTTTATCATCTCTTTCAATTATCATTTGTCTTAATTCTCTAGCGCACACATCAATATTTGTCCTTCCAAACATCCCGCCGACAGAATTCTCTGAGCCCCTTAAAACACCAGTGGCTGGTGTTTCATAGAACAAGCCAAAAACAAAACAAAACCAAAAATGTTTTTCTTTTAAAAAAAAATTTATCATGATTTTATCCCCCAATAATTCCCTAAATGCCGGCATACACTGTTATCTATATGCTCCAAACTGCATGTGGCCAGAATGATGCTATCCCCATCACTCCCAGGAGGTGGAAACAGGGATTCCCAGTCCTGTCTGCCAGCCCCGCTTCCTCTCGGGATGGGTAAAGGAACAGCTTCAGCAGAAGCAGGTGCTTGTACTATCATTCGGGGCTGGTCTGGCTGTCCCCAGCAGACCTGCGCTAAAATGTCAAATGGAGGCCACACAATGAGCTGCCACAGAGAAGTAGCATCATTTTAAGCCATTGCAGGGACGAGGGCCCCTCTACTCCTTTGCAGTCCGTGGTCCTGTCCCTTGAACCACCAGGCCACTCATACAAAGGAGCCCTCCACCCCAGCACGGATAGGCAGCTCAGGGAAGGCAGAGTTCCAGACTTCTGAGGGAAAGAAGCAGCCCCCACTTTGTTTGTGAAGGCTTTCTCTGGCACTTTCTCCAGGCAATGTGCATTGAAAAGTGAGCTGGCTTCCTCTAGTATGTTTTGAGTGCAGAGAAAAAAATTCCAAAAACTAAGATTAAGGACAGCAGAAGATATATACTGCTAACTCATGCTGTTCTGGGGCTATTTTGCAGACATCTGAGATTCTGCACCCCATGGGGTAAAAAAAAAAAAAAAAAAAGTGATCACTGAGTCAGTCCAAGCCAGTGCACACAGATAATGGACCTGGCTCAAAAAGACCACAACAAGCATAGCCGTGAGGCTTTCAGATATTTTTATAATTTATGATTTCAGCATTAAATTTGTTTCTTGAAAAAAAAAATGATTCTTTCAAGCCAAAGAAACTGAATTCCAAGATTTTACTATTAGAAGATAGTGCAATTCCAAGATTTTACTATTAGAAGATAGTGCAAAAAATAAAGCAATGTTTTAAAATACTTTTTTGCCTACCAGCCTAC